CAATTTTTACCCAGACTGATGTAGACAACAAGATATTTAAATGCATTAGGTTAGTTGTTGCAGGACAGTTTTTTTGTTACATAAGCATCCATTATGTATATAAGCATCCATGAATCGGCATGCAAAAATTCTTTAAACGGCATTTAGCTTATTCATTCAATTTCCAAAAATGGTATGTATAAATATCTTAAATTAAATGTGCAGAGCTTATGCTTCCCATAGTGTCTCTTTTCTTAGCCACCCAGCCGACACGCATTTGGGCCCCAAAATATTCCCATGTGTGGCCAGCATGAGGCTGTCAGCTCTTGTTACCCCAATATCACCCAGCAGCTTTAAACGAGCAAAGCCCACCGGAGCAACAAGTTCACAGCCTATTGTGTCATTTCCGCTAGTGCGAATGTATAGAAAGGGGTCATTCAGGCCAGGATCACCTGATACAAGAACCTCGTAGCAGTAACAGTTGTGTAAGCAGGCACCAATTTATGGCCATCGGAAAATATAGAACCCTCAATTCTTCACAGATCACTGGGACTTGGAGACCACAGCGAAACTGTAGCCAACAACAGACAGCGAGTATTCAGAAAAAGACTGTGTGACGTAAAGAACGTACAAGAGAGCGATAAATGGTCTGAGGAAAGGAAGGGAAAAATTTCCTTGTTCTCTGTTTTTCTTCTCTTTCTCTGAATGAATGGAGTGTTGTTTAGTTGACTCTGAAAGCAGTAGTCATTACTTTGACAGAGACCCACCAACAGAAGTTTAAGTCATTACAGAGGCATCCTAGGCCACTTTCAGCTCTCAGGTATTTCAGGCATTTCTTTCAGAAGTAGTAACCAACCAGCCAAGAGTCTGGAGAGAATGGACAGTCAGTGTCAATAGACCTTTGAGAATTTTTGTCTCGTAAAAGTTTTCATTGTTACATCAGCATTACAACTCTTTGAAAATGAAGTCATGACTTCATTGAAATAATGATGAATATGCATAAATACTACTACTACAAATTATTATTATTATTTTGGCATGCTTCATTTTTTAAATATTACACATTACACAAAATATTACATGAATACCATAAAATATACCATAAAAAGTCCATAAGCTGATAAACAAAAATGAGCGATGACTGTAAATGTTTCTTCTTTTTTGGTTAATACTCTAAAGAAGTGTGCCGAACAGGTGGATTGTTCTGTGCTGCCTAAAAATGCACAGCATCATTTTTGTGTTGTTCCAGTGCCACTTTTTTAAATCATTTTTTGTGATAGTGCTGCCCTCTGGTGGTACACTCATGTGTTTACATGCTAATGCATACAGGTTGCTGCATTAGGTCAAATCAAAGGTCAAAAACTGACATTACAGTTAAGGAAAAATCTTTATATGCAGAAAGCAAGTCTACATACATTTGTGATGAAAGTTCATGCTCACTGAGATTCAGTGTGTTTTCTGTGACTGGGTAATGTAATATCAGGCGTAGAGAAATATATAATAAAATTTTTCTAAACCCTCACCTGATCAGCTTTGCTCCGTCCAGTTGCTACCGGTAATTGAAATTCTTGTTAAATTGCAACCAAATCTAGAAGGAAACGAATGGCAAAGCTCAGTCTATATCCAGTGGTATAAAAAGCAGTGGTTAAACTTAGTAATGAATGTATGTGTAGCAGTGTAAAAGCGTGACTCACACTGTAAGGATGGTGGGGTTCAGACAGGGGCGAACTGGATGAATGGGGTGCTTCTGAGGGAAATGGGTCAGGTCTCTGGGTTCAGGATGAAATGAACGATGGATGAAAGGTATACCATTGGATATTAGTTCTGTCTGTTGCAATCAGAGTTCAAGACCTACAGATTTAGCTTCTGTCAGATACATTAATGACTTTGACTTTGAGTCTTGTGACCAGACATCGATTTTTAGACGGTCAAAATGACCTGAGGGACGGATGAGGGTTTTAAATACAATGCTTACTACATAATAAAAATATAAGAACATACATTTTCTGTAAAACATCATTTTAAGTAAATTAAATAATTCGGTCTTTCTGCCTCGACATAAAAAATTGTGTGTTGATCGTACCGGTCCAAGATTTCTTTACTTCTGTCACACTTGCACCGGGAATACACACAAAAACATTTAGTGGATTCGAGGAGTTTAAATGGATGCAATAAAAAAAGTAACAAAAGTGTCCCTCGCGGGTCATTTTGACCCGCATGGGAATTAATGGAATTTACGAGAAAACTGCATTTTTCATTACATTTGATTTTTTTTGATATACAAAATCTGAGACAATCCAGTAAAAATGTATACACAAACGAAGGACTGAGACTACAAAATATCCCCAATGCAGAAAAAATTCACATACACACACACACACGCGCACACACACACATGCACAAACACACACATGGTACACACACTCTCATAGAACACATTGTAATATTTTTCATGTTTCTGCTGGGATATGACTGTAATTTTTCAAATTTTTTTGACTAAACACAGTTAGATTTGAGTGATGTGGTGGAGACCAATGAGTTTATATCATATTTATATATTTTTAAATATATTATATATTTATTTAATATTTATGAAATTGTATGAATACTATGAATGAATTTTTGTTTTTTTTTACAAAATATGGATTTTGTAATGTTTCAATATATATTTTAATCCATAAACAACCAAATTGAAACCTCAAGATTATCTCATTTCTCATGTTTCACTTTGCTCATTTAACAATCTCCAAAGGGTTCTATAGGCCCCTCTAGTGGCTGTAACCATAAAATGCAATTTTATGTAATTTTTCCCCACCAGATGGCATCAGAGACACTCAGTGAATCAATTCCAAGGCCATCTGTTGGTTTTTGATGAAACAGGACTGAAATAATGTACAAAAACTGCTTATTTGCTTATGTTTTCTTAAAAATATCCAGAATAAAAGGTAAATAGGATAAAAATCATAGAAAAACCTACATAAAAAAATATAAAAATGTTCCAATATAAGCTTTCTGGACCAAAAAATAAAATCAGTGTCATTTTTGGCCTTCGGGTCATTTTGACCCGCGAGGGACACTTTTGTTATAGGTTCGGGAGGGACGGATGAGGGTAAAGCAATAAAGTGCTTAATTAGTGCTGAATTATGAATATAGTCATGGCTACAAGTGTTGTAAATGTTCCCCATTATAGCTTGGCTTTTATCTTATTTCTTAATTGTAACAAATTGTTCTGGTTCCTTGACTCTTGATAGGTTAAAACAACATTCCAACCATCCTAAAAACATGCTTGAACCCAAAAGGTAAAACCTTGGTATTGGTACACATATAACATCGCTATATCCTATAGTTTACATGAACTAGATATCAGCAGTGTTAAATGACATGTGATGTGTTGCAGGTACATGAGAGAGATGATGGGGATGAATTGAGGATTTGTAAAGTAGCATGATATATATATACAAATCACTGCAACACCTCCACAGCACCATGACAAGTTATCAGATGCAGGTCTGGAGTGTACAGTAGATAAATAATGACTGTGAGTGGACATGAGTGTGAACGCTCATTATAAAGCTACTGGAGACCAGTCTTAAATTGGAATGACCATAATGCTGAATTTTACACCGGTCAGAATGTTACTTCTGCTCCTGTTAAGACAAATGTAACATGAAAAACAAATCATACTAACCAACTGCGTCTCAAATAAGTGCATGCATCAAACAAGGAATATTACTGCTTTAATATTTATTAATGTTACTACGCATATATTTTAGATGGTATTATTTTAGCTGTCAGGAATATGTGAATTTATTCATGAAAATGTATTTAATTCACACAGAAGCTGCTATTGTAGTGGTATCTATATTATATAATTATAAACAAATAATTACAGTGGTAAGTAAAATTGAATTAAGCGTGAAATTTTGGGGTAGAAGGACTGAAAGAGTATTTTCTTAATCCAATAATCCTTGTTTATTTACAGCTTTGAAAAATAGTTTTTTTTTACATTGTATCCATTGTATCCATTGTTTTATTATTGATCAGCCCAGAGTCATATTTACATATTTTAACATAAGATTCAAGTGTCATAGAACTTTTATTTCATAACCATTGTTATATTTGCACTCAAACTCTCTATGATAAAATCTTGAATGCTACTAGCATCTGTTGTCTCCCATAATAAACATTGTTCTCAGAAAGAAAGAAAAAATAATGTTTGACATATTCAATTTGTAAATTAATCTTCAGTTTGATTAGGCTGTTCGCAGGTCTCTTCTATGGCTGCTCAGTTGTTAAGTGATTGATTCATCCATCCTACTTAAATCAGCTGTAAGCCTATTTAAGGGGAGAGCAAGGCTGTCACACTTTTTACTGTGTTCAGTGTTTCTTGGGTAGGTTTATTTAAAAGGGTCATATGATGCGATTTCAAGTTTTCCTTTCTCTTTGGAGTGTTACAAGCTGATTGTGCATAGATAAGATCCCTGAAGTTGCAAAGACTAAAGTCTCAAAACCAAAGAGATATTCTTTATCAAAGTTAAGACTCTGCCACACACCCCTAAAACGGCTTGTTCTAACACGCCCCCACGTATCTAGGTCACTATGTGGGAATATTTGCATAATGCACCCAAATGTGCACGCAAAGAAAGTATACACATACACACACTATGTAGAGTTTTATACTATGTCGTTTTAAAAAAAAAATATATGTAATATTTTATTTTAGTATTCTTCGTTTATGTAAAAATGTTGCATTGTATTTTAAGAAAAGTTCTTGATGAATAGTTGAGTATAAGGGGAGGAGGCTGGTGATGGGAGTGATCAGACCAGATGTTCAGCACCTCCACTATCTGTACCTGCATGAAAACCTTCCAGACAGAAGATGCTTTTCTTTTCTCGTTGTGCTGGAGTATATTTATAGGACTTTGCGCAAAAACAAAACGACGATGTAGAAGTTCCTGATTCGTGTCCATATGGAGTCTATGCAGCGTTGAATCATTTTAAACGTTTCAGTGGTCAGAAAGATGAACGCATCTCAGCAGATCCACTTCTCCTCCAACTGGAAAGTTGAGTCGGTAATCATTTCTGTCATATTCTCGATTATTTTTTTGGTTGGAACCGTGGGGAACTGTCTTGTGCTCGCGGTTATCATTCGCAACGGCCAGATGAATTCAAAAAGCACCAACCTGTTCATCCTGAACCTCGGGCTGGCGGACCTCTGCTTCATCGTCTTCTGCGTGCCTCTCCAGGCTACCATCTACACCATGGACGAGTGGGTATTTGGACAGTTTGTGTGCAAAGCTGTGCACTTTATCATCTACCTGACCATGTACGCGAGCATCTTTACGCTGGCAGCGGTGTCTCTGGACAGGTGCGTTTCTGGTGCGCACAATCAGCGCGCGCTTTTCTTTCCAGTTCAGTGAAACGCATAGGCTAATTGATGAGATTATATTAGCGACAATTATATGCAATAACTGTAAACAAGGAAAATAATAGCAAATGCAAGAAACTTAGACAGAGAGCAGAGCAGAAAGAAACTTTAACTGCTACCATATTGTCTTCGGCGCTGTGTAATTCAAATAATTTAAGTATTTTTCATTCTCTTATTTTGGTATTGTTTTGCAATTATAACAATGTATTAAACAATTGCAGTTGTTACTTGAGAAGTGTGTCACAACAACGCTGATTGGCTGATAGCACCGAAAACAAATATTTGCACAGTACTAAAACCCTTCACTAGCATGAAGTGCATTTTATATATATATATATATATATATATATACAAGCAGGGGCTAATGTTAACCAGCCAAACCAAACCCTGTTTTATTCCACATAGAGAGAGAGAGAGAGATTTAAAGAATTGCCATTAAGCATACTGTACTATATGTATGTATTTTGTCAAATACATGCCAGCTAAACCTCTTGGCAACCAAATAGCAATGCCCTGGCAACAAGGTGGTGAGTTTGCATGAGAAGGCACCACTCACATTTTCTTAAGAATGAAATGAAATGAGTTTATTAGCTACACTAAGTGCCATAAGATGTGGCACTAACCTGCTCAGATTACTTTTTTAGATTTCGATGGTTGCGTCCAAATTCACATACTGAGTAGGAAGTTATTTTGAACAAGTAATTACTTATCGACCATTAAAAAAAAAAGTATGTTCTATATAGTATGAATGCGTGTATGTTCATGTTGTCATTGTCATGTGATTACTGCGACAGTTGCTCACTTTACTGCCATTCATAAATCCTCTCCTGTGGCCTCATGGGACAGGAAAGTGCCCACCAGATACACACTTCAGAATATCACCTGCATATCTGTGCCGTGAACCACATTTATCCTCGCAGAGCCAACCATGCTGAAAAAACAGCTAAAACCAGCCTTAACTGGTTTAAGGTGGTCATAGGTGGTTTAAGCATGGTGTTCAGCTAAAGAGTGGTCAAAACCCCTCTAAAACCAGCCTGCTAAACTAGTTATGACCATGACCCCACTAGTTACATAGTGTAACTTTAATACTTTGTAATTATTATTGAGGTATTATGTTTGCATTTTCCCAACAGATATCTCGCCATTCGGTATCCTCTGCACTCAAGAGAGACCAGAACTCCCCGTAATGCTCTGACATCCATCAGCCTTGTTTGGGCTCTATCGCTGTTCTTCTCCAGCCCTTATCTCAGCTACTACCAGCAGATGGATCTAGACGGGACCACCGTTTGCATCCCGGCGTGGAACACCCATGATCGTCGAGCCATGGATGTCTGCACCTTCATATTCGGCTACCTGATACCAGTCCTCGTTCTCAGCATCACGTATGCCCGCACCATCCGCTACCTCTGGACCTCCGTGGACCCCATGCAGGACATGTCGGAGTCCCGCAAGGCCAAGCGCAAGGTGACCAAGATGATAATCATCGTGGCTGCGCTCTTCTGTTTATGTTGGCTGCCACATCACCTGGTTATCTTGTGCATGTGGTTCGGCCACTTCCCGCTCAACCACACAACCTACGTCCTCCGCATTCTCTCTCACCTGGTGGCGTACACCAACTCCTGCCTGAACCCCATCGTCTACGCCCTGGTGTCTAAACATTTTCGAAAGGGCTTCAAGAAGGTGTTTGGCTGTGCATTTCGTAATCGGGTCATAAACCGGATCCACACTGTGCAGCCGGCGCAGACGGTGAGCCTGATGGAAGCTGCCTCGTGCGAAGGATCCAATCATAACGACGGGTCAAACCGGGGTCGCCTCTGGAGCAAAAGTAGCAGGAAGATGATGACGAGTGCCTTCATGACATTTAATGCGACATAATCCACTTACCCTCTCACCTACTGTCAAATCAGAGCTCACCAAAGTATAAAACTCTTCTGTTCCTGTGGCTTTTAACAGCATTTGAGCTGTGATTACATAAAAGTTATCATATAGGAGCAAATTGTCAGGTAGAGAGGAAGCAGCGCTTTTTGTGTTCTTGGTGAGGACAGTGACCGATGTTTAAAATGACAATCTCTTGCGTCTGTGTTTTGTCAGTGTTGGCAGCTTTCGTCACTGTGCAGTGGAGGCTGTGTGCTTTCTGACTGTGAATCATGGTAGGGTTTTCTGGAGGTATGAACAGATTGAATTATCAGAGGACAGTGCCGGCATCAAGTTGTTCGGTTCAAACATTCACACGGTGAACTTTTATGACAATTTGATCATATTTTTTAGAATTTATGTTCTCGGCTCCTTTAGGGTAACCGCCTACAGGATCTGATGTATGGGTCAGTGACATATAAGAGTGTCTGTAATATAGAGAAATCTTTTAAAAACCTAGTTTAAAGCACACATGATCATATGGTTTTGTAAAACATGTTTTCTTGTGTGTGTGTGTGTGTGTGTGTGTGTGTTTGTTTTTTATTTTTTTGTTATTTTTGCCCGTTTTATATATGTTGGCTGCATCATGTGGTTTTGTTGGTATATCAAATATTTTAATATCAAATATCCCCATATAGGCAGTGAAACAGTTTTAGTAAAATATTAATAATAAATAACAGAAATAAAAGATTAAGATTTTCTCCCAAAATATTAAAAATAATTTTAATTCATAAATTAAAAATAAGCTTTTAATTGGAGAGTTAGACCTAAAAGTTTGAGGTCGGTAATATATATATATTTTTTCATGTTTTTGAAAGAAAAAGGCACGTTTGATCCAAATACAGTTAAAACAGCAATGTTGTGAAATATTATTGCAATTTAAAATAACTAAAATAATATAAAATAATGTTTTGTATCGCAATATATTGTCAAACGTAATTTATTCCTGTGATGTAAAGCTGAATATTCAGCAGCCATTACTCCAGTTTTTAGTGTCACACAATCCTTCAGAAATAATTTAATATGCTGATTTGGTGCTCAAGAAACATTTCTCATTATTATCAATGGTATAAACAATTTTACCGCTTAACATTTTTGTGGAAAATATTCTTTGTTTCTCTCGTTCAAAAAAAAAAAAATGACTGACCCCAAACTTTGAATGCTAGTGTATATTCATAAATTGTATGAATTATATGACTACATTTCTTATGTTTTTTGACTAAAGTAATAAATAGGACAAACAATGATCATTGATCCATATAGCAAATTTCCTAAAACTGTTTGCTTCTGTTCAACAACTAAACAGAAATATTGTTGACTTCGCCTCTCATCTGTCTGTACCACTACCTCTTTTGTGTCGTATAGGTTTGTGTGATTTGTAAAGCATGTTATGAATTTTAAAGATAATGCTTTGAATGTCTCTAATCAATGTATTGGCGGTGAGGCCCCAATGTATTTTGACTTGGGTTGAGTCACAAATGCATACAAAGAATTAACAATGAATAAACAATTGTTCACAAGTACATCCATAGTAAAAAATACAGGTTGGTCTTTGTGATGATTTCCAAGCAACAGAATATATATAACTCAAGCTGTTATGAAACAGATCCGCACAAGAACATCCACTTATCTTGGTCCTCCCAGGATCTGGCTTTACTGGAAATGTGCCAGTTGGCTGGTTCTCGCGTGTAGCTGCTTTAGACTTTGCTGTTGCTTAGAGAGTTTGTGGGTAATATGTGCACTGTTATTTGCTCCATCAGTGGAAAAAGCCAAGCGTAACAGCCTCATTTAACATCTGACGTAAGTATTTATTGTACAATCACTATTTAACCAGATTTGTGGTTAGTTTATACATCCCATGACGCTGCTCATATGCAAAAAAAAGAGTACGAGGGCATCTATTTCTAAGGACCTCTTCTCTGTAAAGTACAGCTGCTGCCATTCTGGCAAGTAGGTTGTTTTTTTAGTAATATTACAAGGAACAGGTCAATTAATTTGAATATGTTCATTTCAGTGTCTTTCATGGGTGTCAAAAGTCTCTTCATGCACAATGTAATTAATGCCCATGAACCATATACTTACGGTCCTTCTTGAAGAGCCACTCTGCAGTCAAACTGATTGGCGTATGCAGAGGACAGCTGTGGAGTGGCAAAAGCAATTCTGGCTCTCTACTGATGATGATGATGATGATGATGCTCCTCTGCTCTCCATGATTATTCTTCCCATGTGTTCAGCTCTTCATCAGGAGCCAAACACTGATCTGAGCTTTTGACACAGAACAGACATGACAGTCATGGAAAATCAAGGCGGTCAGAAAAGGAATAAATATAAAAAAATTCAGTGTGCAGATGCATTGTTGCATAAAAGCCAGACTAAATTAAGACTGCTCTGACCCACCTCAGTCCCTAGTATTAAAATATAGAGTTGTAACTGCAGTGTAAATGCATTTATGCCACCTCTAAGCAGCATTAAACAATCTGTGTAAAGACACTCAAATGCCACTTCAGAAGAGCTTCTGTGTTACCTTTACAGTGTAAATTTGGCAATAGTAAACAGAGCAATGCATATAAAAATATCTCTAAAAAATCTGCATGTGACGTATTTCTTTAATACAGGTTTAATCTCTTGACTAGTTCTGTAATCTGCACAGTGGTGCATTCTGGCATTGAGTTGTCCTTTTCTAGTCTGTTCTTGTGTGTGATGTTCAGACTACCAGCCCCCACACATTTTAATGGCTCTCTGCTGCAAATACAATGTGATAGCCTGTTACAGTCAAGTCAAAGTTCACCAATTAAGCTACTCCTCTGTCTTGCCTCTCAGGGCCATACAATGACTCCATACAATGGCTTATCTGATGTTGATGAGGCAAGGTACTGGTTGTCTCTCCTGGTGAACTTGTACTTTTTCCTACTGCCTCCTTCGTCTTATTGTCTCTCTGGGGGTGGGGGGGGGGAAGGGGAAAGAGATGATCCAGCTTAAATGAAAGCTGTTGATTTGGTCTAGATGGATCTTGTCAGCTTTGGCTTGTTGCAGAACATTGTGAAAGTAAACAGTGTTCACACTGAAAGCATTGTACTTGAAAGCTTGTTATAGCAGTGCTTTATTGATTTATATTCAGGGTTTGTTCTAAACCTCTAACCCTGCAAATATGAAACCTCTGACATTAATATAGCTAGAACTGCTTGACATATACTCCATTACAGTGTCATCATGGCTGAATTTATCAGCATTCACCTAACCAGCATGCAGTTTTCTTGAAGGGAAGCACTGCTGAAATCTAGATCCTGCTGCATCCTTCATAAGCTCCATCATTTCAGACATCACACTGGGACGTAAAAGGTGGGGGCCATCCTTTACCTCATGCTTCCAATCAGTTCTAATGGAAGAACCTGTGAGTTAAAGCATGCTTTGAAATTGAACAGAGATGTTGCCTCCCAGCAGACTTGTGCCTCCAGTGAAACAGATCCAATTAGGATCTAAGACTTTCTCAACAACAAGAAAAGTACATTTTAACTGCTGTTAATCAAAGGACCAGCATTGCATTAAAGGAATTTGTCTGTGTGTGTGTGTGTGTGTGTGTGTTTTTTTGTGCTGAATTAAAAGAAAAAGTGAGAACATGGATTTTTAGAATTGTTCAGCTTGGCAAGGGTTCAAGTATGATTCTTATGGAAATAATAAAGGAATAGTTTACCCAAAAATGAATGATTTGCTGAAAATGTACTCACCTTTAGTGCTCCACAAGACTCCGGTCCATCAATTAACGTCTTGTGAGGTGAAAAGCTGCGTGTATGTAAGAAACAAATCCATCAAGGCATTTAAAATCGTTGCTTTCAGCTAAAATATGAAGCCTCTATATCCATAATATTGCTTTCTCCAGTGAAGAAGTCTCCTTGTCTAAATATGCACAGATCAAGCACAATTTACAAGTGAAAACAGTTCTAACCAAATATAACACATTTTGTTTTGAGAGGACAACATGGGCTGGACTTTTTCACCAGTGGAAGCGTTATTATGGAGTATGGACTCGTATTTTGGCCAGACGGTTTACACTTAAAATTCCTTAATGATGGATTTGTTTATTACAGACATGCAGCTTTTCACTTCACAAGATGTTAACTCATGGACTGGAGTCATGTGGATTATTGCAATGTTTTTAACAGATGTTTGAACTCTTATTCTGATGGCACCCATTCATTGCAGAGGATCCATTGGTGAGCAAGTGATGTAATGTTAAATGTTTCCAAATCTGTTCTGATGATTAAACAAACTCATCTACATCTTGGATGGCCTGATGGTGAGTACATTTTCAGCAAAGTTTCATTTTTGGATGAACTGTTCCTTTAACTCAGATTCACAGATTGACAAATTCTGAATATATAAAATATAATCAATGCATGTGCTGGTATAGCACATTTCACAACCAGTGGCTACTATGAGCTGATTAATTTTAATTCCCTCCTGTTGTGAATCAATAAGAAATGCAGTATTCTGTAGATGTGCTGTGTCTATAAACTGATGCACAATGACACCATCATTTCACTGAAAGCTCTCAACAAAACAGGACGCTTCAACATTCGGTTAATCTCTGCACTGTTGTCTCCTTCAACATCTGAGGAAAACTGACCATTTAATATACAAGTGTTAAATGGTCAGTTTCCCGCAGACGTACATAAATAATGGTAAATATCAATTGAGAACAGAATGTTTTATTGTGCATCATTTCCAAACAAGAAAATAATATGGACAGTGAAGCTTGGCATTTTATTTATTTATTCAAGTCTAAAATGTAAAATTTCTTAATACACTCAATACATCATGAAATGTGATGGAAACGTGTTAATGAAAAATACATATGTATATATAGGCTAGGCTATATAGCCTACACTAGAGGATATTATAAGTAAAAAAAAAAGAAAAGAAAAATCTGCTTTATTTATAGGCTACTACAATACGCTTTGTTG